GATCAGTTTCCATCCATCGCTTCTTGTCCTGCCTTCTGGTGGCTTTAGAGAATAGGAGGACCCCCTTTTTTGGGGGGGCAGCCCCCCCAAATACTGGAAGACTGCTATCACGTCCCCCCTGGTCCTTCTCTTCGTTAGTCTAGAATGAGATATTCCTCGATTTAACAACCACAATTGGGATCCATTGTTACGCAAGGCGGTTGATACGTTAATCCCACCAGATTTTGTTCCCAGGGTTGTTAAATGAATCATGCAGTCGTTAAGCAAATCTACCCCCCCCAATCGACTTTGCTGGCTGGGAAGATCACAAATGTTGATCACGTGATCCTGGGAGGCTGCAATCCTTGCAAACACGTGCTGCTTCCCGAAATTTGATTTGGTTTTGAGAGGGACCTCGGAGTCCTGGTGGACGATGGCTTGATCCTGAGACAGCCGTGTGCGGCAGCAGCCAAAAAAGCCAACACAGTCCTGGGTTGCATAAACAGAGGCAGAGAATCAAGATCACGCGAAGTATTAGTACCGCTTTGTAAAGCCCTAGTAAGGCCACACCTGGGATACTGCAGCCAATTTTGGTCACCATATCACAAAAAAGATGTTGAGCGTTTGGAAAAAGTTCAGAAAGAGCAACGAAGAGGATCCAAAGCCTGGAGACTAAAACAGACGAAGAACGGCTGCGGGATTTGGGTCTGGCTAGTCTAAAGAAAAGAAGAAATAGGGGAGATGTGATAGCAGTGTTCCAGTATTTGGGGGGGCTGCCACAAAGAAGAGGGGGTTGCGTTGTTCTCCAGAGCACCAGAGGGAAGGACAAGAAACAATGGTTGGAAGCTGGTCAAAGAGAGAAGCAACCTGGAATTAAGAAGAAACTTCCTAACAGTGAGGACAATTAACCAGTGGAACTGCTTGCCACCAGAAATCGTGGGCGCTCCATCACTGGAGGTTTTAAAAAAGAGATTGGACAGTTACTTGTCTGAGACGGTATAGTTCCCCTGCTTGAGCAGGGGGCTGGACTAGAAGACCTCCCAGGTCCCTTCCAGCTTCTATTCTATTCTATTCTATTCTATTCTATTCTATTCTATTCTATTCTATTCTATTCTATTGCCTTTTCATATTCTATTCTAGTTCTTATTCTGTTTCTCATTCTATTCTATTCTATTCTACTCTATTCTATTCTATTCTATTCTACTCTACTCTACTCTATTCTATTCTATTCTATTCTATTCTATTCTTATAGAATATATAATAGGGAATTCTATAGTATAGAATATATAATAGGGAATAGAATAGGGAATAGAATGGAATGGAATGGAATAGAATAGAACAGAATAGAATAATAAAATACATAACAGAATAGAATAGTAAAATACATAACAAAATAGAATAAAATACATAACAGAGTAGAATAATAAAATACAGAATAGAATAGAATAGAATAGAATAGAATAGAATAGGATAGGATAGGATAGGATAGGATACCTATGGGGCGGGGTCCAACTGCCCCGCCCCCCCAGCGGGTCCTTTGGCTCATTGCAAAATTGCTCTTTTTTTTTTTTTTTTGTGGGTCAAACCTTGATCCCCCGGCCGGGAGTCCGAAGGTGGATCCTCTGTAATCTGATCCGTTGGGAAATCAGGGATCCCAGATCTCTGGAAGGTGTACATTTGGCCCAAATCCGGCCTCCGATCTATATGGCAATAAAATTTGCCAGAAGCATAAATTGCATTTAGTAATCGCGAGGGGCGATTGATGAGTGGCCATTAAGGGTTGTAAACCCAGGTTAATGAGTGGGCTGGGGGAACTCGGCCAAGGGGAAACGAGGGATAAACTCCGGCACATTCCGACAGGTGCGCCAGGTCGCTGGGTGCAACCTGTAGATCAGATTTCCATTTCTGAAACGTTTGTGTGGCAGAGTTCACACCCGGAGCCCTGGGTGAATTTAAGCCCGGCGTTTCTCAGCCGTGGTGGGTTGAAGACGTATGGACTTCAACTCCCAGAATTCCCCAGCTGGCAAACTTTCAGACTATCCTTCGTCTTTTTTCCCACCAAATTGACAACAATCCTGCGAGGTGGGCTGGCCTGAGAGAGTGCGATTGGCCCAAGTCACCCAGCCATCTTTCATGCCTAAAGCGGAACTAGAACTCATTGCCTCCTGTGATTGGCCCAAGTCAGCCAGACATCTTTCACACCTAAGGCGGGACTAGAACTCCCTGCCTCCTGGGGATTGGCCCAACTCACCTAGGCATCTTTCAAGCCTAAGGTGGGACTAGAACTCCCTGCCGCCTGGTGATTGGCCCAAGTCAGCCAGACATCTGTCATGCCTAAGGCGGGACTAGAATTCCCTGCCACCTGGTGATTGGCCCAAGTCAGCCAGATATCTTTCACACCTAAGGCGGGACTAGAACTCCCTGGCTCCTGGGGATTGGCCCAAGTCACCTAGGCATCTGTCATTCCTAAGGCGGGACTAGAACTCCCTGCCGCCTGGTGATTGGCCCAAGTCACCCAGCCATCTTTCATGCCTAAGGCGGGACTAGAACTCCCTGGCTCCTAGGGATTGGCCCAAGTCACCCAGATAGCTGTCATGTCTAAGGCGGGACTAGAATTCCCTGCCTCCTGGTGATTGGCCCAAGTCACCCAGCCATCTTTCATGCCTAAGGCGGGACTAGAACTCCCTGCCTCCTGGTGATTGACCCAAGTCACCCAGACATCTTTCATGCCTAAGGCAGGACTAGAATTCCCTGCCGCCTGGTGATTGGCCCAAGTCACCTAGACATCTTTCATGCCTAAGGCGGGACTAGAATTCCCTGCCGCCTGGTGATTGGCCCAAGTCAGCCAGATATCTTTCATACCTAAGGCGGGACTAGAACTCCCTGGCTCCTGGGGATTGGCCCAAGTCACCTAGGCATCTGTCATTCCTAAGGCGGGACTAGAACTCCCTGCCTCCTGGTGATTGGCCCAAGTCAGCCAGACATCTGTCATGCCTAAGGCGGGACTAGAACTCCCTGCCTCCTATGATTGGCCCAAGTCACCCAGACATCTTTCACACCTAAGGTGGGACTAGAACTCCCTGCCTCCTGGTGATTGGCCCAAGTCACCCAGCCATCTTTCATACCTAAGGCGGGACTAGAACTCCCTGGCTCCTGGGGATTGGCCCAAGTCACCTAGGCATCTGTCATTCCTAAGGCGGGACTAGAACTCCCTGCCTCCTGGTGATTGGCCCAAGTCACCTAGACATCTGTCATGCCTAAGGCAGGATTGGAACTCCCTGGCTCCTGGTGATTGGCCCAAGTCAGCCAGACATCTGTCATGCCTAAGGCGGGACTAGAATTTCCTGCCTCCTGGTGATTGGCCCAAGTCACCCAGACATCTTTCACACCTAAGGCGGGACTAGAACTCCCTGGCTCCTGGGGATTGGCCCAAGTCACCTAGGCATCTGTCATTCCTAAGGCGGGACTAGAACTCCCTGCCTCCTGGGGATTGGCACAAGTCACCCAGATATCTTTCACACCTAAGGCGGGACTAGAACTCCCTGGCTCCTGGGGATTGGCCCAAGTCACCCAGATAGCTGTCATGCCTAAGGCGGGACTAGAATTCCCCATCGCCTGGGATTGGCCCCAAATCACCCATCTGTTCAGGCCTAAGATAGGAACTAGAACTCTCCGTCTCCTAGTAATTGGCCCAAAGTCACCCAGCTAGTTTCATGCTTAAGGCAGAACTAGAACTCCCAGCCCAGCATCTTAACCCACTAAAATAAACTGGATCTCACCAACCCATTCCACCTTGTCACTGGCATCCAAAGGGGCCTCAGCCCAGCCAACGTAGGAGAAGACCCCGATGCGGGCACTCCATCCATGCTCAGAGGCTACTAGCTTGTGAATTTACAACACACACACACACGTCAAGGCCTGCAGGGGTCCAAGTTGCTATCTTTGAGAAATTGCCCTCTGTGCACGGCCAGCTGTAAAACCGGGCTAACAGACTACTAGGTGGCTACTCCAAGCAGTCCTCGCTTTACAACGGTCCATTTAGTGACCGTTCAAAGTTACAATGGCGCTAGAAAAAAGCGACCCCCGGGACCGTTTTTTTTTTCCGCCGTTAACGACCGTCGCAGCCTCCCTCCGTGGGTCACGGGATCAAAATTCAGACGCTCGGCAACGGACTCGTACTTATGACGGTCGCAGCGTTTATGACGGTCACGTGATTTGCCCCTTTTCGCGACAAGCTTCGACGAGCGAAGTCCACGGGGGGGGAGGGGGGAAAGCCGGATTCGCTTAACGACCGTGTTACTCCCTTAACAACCGCAGGGGTTCGCTTAAGGGCGGTGGCGAGAAAAGTCGCAAAGCGGGACCAAAAAAAAATCCCACTTAACAACTTCCTCGCTTGCATTAGATGAGATAACCTTTATGGTCATTTATTTTCCTCCCCTGTGGGCACAATTGGCACAGAGGTTCAGGGCTGAATTGTCGTCGTAAGGCGAGGACTTTCTGTCTGCTCAGGCCTTTTTATCCCTTTTAATATTAATTCTGAGGTTTTCACCTACACGTATCTAACTCGTGGGTCATAAAGTCCTCCAGGCAGGATCAAAAGCCGTGAAGCCTCCCGGCCGCACCTGCAGAGGAAAAAGGGCGGTGACCCCCCCCCCGCTTCTCCGCGTGACTGGCACCCGGCCCTGCCCGGCCCTCTGCAGCCGCCCACAGGGCAGGGCAAGGCAGGGCAGGGCAGGGCAGGAGGAGAGCAAAGTGGCCCTCTGGTTCCCCGGGGGGTCACTTCGGAGCTACACCCCGGCCTGAGCGATGGCGTGTCTCATCCGGCCGGCCTGCAGCAGCGACTGTGACCTGCTCATGAGCTTCATCAAGGTGAGGAAGGGGCGAAGGAAGGAAGGAAGGGAGGAAGGAAGGAAGGAAGGAAGGAAGGGAGGGAGGGAGGGAGGGAGGGAGGGGGAAAGGAAGGGAGGGAGGGAGAAAGGAAGGAAGGGACGGAGGGAGGAAGGAAGGGCGGGAGGGGGAAAGGAAGGAGAGGGAGGGGGGGAGGGAGGAAGAAAGGAAAGAAAGAATGGAAGGAACGGAAGGGAAAAAGGAAGGAGTAGGAAGGAAGAAGGAAGGAAGGAAGAAGAAAGGAGTAGGAAAGAAAAGGAAGGAAGGAAGGAAGGAAGGACTAGAAAGGAAAAAAGGAAGGTAGGAAGGAAGGGAATGGAAGGAAAGGGAAGGGAAGAAGGAAGGAGTAGGAAGGAGGGAAGTTTAAGGAAGGAAGGAAGGGAGGAAAAAAGGAAGGAAGGAAAGAAAGAATGGAAGGAACGGAAGGGAAAAAGGAAGGAGTAGGAAGGAAGAAGGAAGGAAGGAAGGAAGGAGGAAGGAAGGAAGAAGAAAGGAGTAGGAAAGAAAAGGAAGGAAGGAAGGAAGGACTAGAAAGGAAAAAAAGAAGGAAGGAAGGAAGGGAAGAAGGAAGGAGTAGGAAGGAGGGAAGTTTAAGGAAGGAAGGAAGGAAGGAAGGAAAAAAGGAAAGAAAATGGAAGGAACGGAAGGGAAGAAGGAAGGAGTAAGAAGGAAGAAGGAAGGAAGGAAGAAGAAAGGAGTAGGAAAGAAAAGAAAGGAAGGAAAGAAGGAAGGAAGGTAGGTAGGAAGGAAGGGAAGGGAAGAAGGAAGGAGTAGGAAGGAAGGAGTAGGAAGGAAGCCCCCCGGGACACTGCGACCGTCATAAATACGAGTCCTGACCAGAGTGTGTGTGTGTGTGGGGGGGATGCTGGAGATGTGAAAACCGGCCCAAAGTCACTCCCCCCCACGGTGCCCTTGTGCCTTCCCAACAGCCACTAAACCAAGTCGTAACTTGAGGACCGCCTTATTGTATCTTTCCCCCCCACCCAACCTCTCTGCTGCATTTGTGGATCTGGACAAGGCTGGGATTTGGGGGTACGGTACCCACGGTCCCCCCCATAACGGTCCCTCTATTTATTTCCCCCCCCTCGTCCCCCCAGGACATTGCTGACTATCACAACTTATTGCAGGAGGTCACCATCAGCGCTGAAGGTAAGGAATTGGAGACTTTTTTGGGGGGGGTGTGAAATGCCAGGTGCCCTCCCCCCCTTCCCAGGAATGCCAGGTGGGAGAGGCTGGTGGGCAACTATTCTGGAATTTGGGGAGTGGGTGGAGGGCAGGGCGGACGCTTCCCGGCTGGAATGTGGGCAGAGTGCTCGGGGGGGGGGGCGTCACTTGGCCACTGGGAGCACCCTGGCCCATCCGTGGGGAAGGAAGGAGCTGGGGGGGGGAGGAGAAGAGCCCGGATTGGGGGGAGGAGGGCTTTCCTTGGGCAAAGAAGGCGGAATTCTGAATCAGGGTTTATTTCTCTCCTTCCTCCTCCTCCTCCTTCTCTATCCCTCCTCCTCCTAATTCTTTTTTTCCTTCCTTTCTTTCTCTTCCTCCTCTCTTCCTTGTTCTCCCCCTCCTGATTCTCTTTCTCCATCTCTTCTTCCACCTCCTCCTCCTCTCTTCCTTCATTCTTCCTTCCTTCTCCTTTCTTCCTTGTGCTTCTCCTCTTTATCCGTCTCTTCTTGTCCTTACATCTCTCCTCCTCCTCCTAATTCTCTTTTTCTTCCTTTCTTTCTCCTCCTCCTCCTTTCTTCCTTGTCCTCCCCCTAATTCTCCATCTCTTCTTCCACCACCTCCTCCTTTCTTTCTTTCTTCCTTCCTTCTTCCTTCCTTCTTCTCCTTTCTTCCTTGCCCTTCTCCTCTTTATCCATCTTTTCTTGTCCTTACACCTCTCCTCCTCCTCCTCCTCCTCCTCCTCCTAATTCTGTTCCTCCCCTTCTTTTCTTCCTCCATTCTTCCTTCTCCTTTCTTCTTTCCTTCTTCCTCCTCTGTTCTTCCTCCAAATTCTCCCCCTCCAAATTCTCCTTCTCCATCTCTTCTTCTTACACTTCATTTCTTTCCCTCTGCCTCCAAATTTTCTTCCTCCATTCTTCCTCCTCCTCCTCCACCTGCTCCACCTCCTTTCTTCATTGTCCTTCCCCTAATTCTCCTTCTCCCTCTCTTATTCCCCTCCTCCTTCCTTCCTCCTTCCTTCCTTTTTTCTTCCTTCTTCCTTCCTTCCTTCCTTCCTTCCTCCTTCCTCCTCCACCTCCTCTCTTCCTTATCCTTCCCCTAATTCTCCTTCTCCCTCTTCTTCCATCACCTTCTCCTCCTTCCTTCCTCCTTCCTTCCTTTTTTCTTCCTTCCTTCCTTCCTTCCTCCTTCCTCCTCCACCTCTCTTCATTGTCCTTCCCCTAATTCTTCTCCCTCTCTTCTTCCATCACCTCCCCTTCTTCCTTCCTTCCTTCCTTCTTCCTTCCTCCCTCCTTCCTTCTCCACCTCCTTTCTTCCTTGTCCTTCCCCTAATCCTCCTTCTCCAACTCTTCTTCCATCACCTCCTTCCTTCCTTCCTTCCTTCCTTCCTTCCTTCCTTCCTTCCTTCCTTCCTTCCTTCCTTCCTTCCTGTCCCAGATCTGAAAGCAGATGGCTTTGGCCCAGATCCCTTCTTCAAGTGTCTGATGGCTGAAGTGCCCCCTGAAGACCCCTCCAAGCAAGGTAAAAGCCAGGCTGTTCCCCCCCCCCAGTAATATCCCCCCCCCCAAAAAAAAGACTTGTTAAACTTTGAAGACTGAAAACTCATCAATGCATCCATCTTGTGTCTGCTTTTTTTTTTTTTTAGAAATGTTTTATTGATTTTTTTACAATAACAATCCGTAGTGCCTAGTTTACGGCCATGTTGTCTTGGTTCATAAATTTTGGGGGAAAAAAACAATCAATGGTAGTTAATTAACAATCAGTAATAATTCATTTTTGTACTTCCATAATTAGTATATTAATTAATAGTATATTTCTCTGACCTTCCCTTCTCCCAATAGTATTCTCCTTCTTCAGCCTTAAAAAAATAGAATTGTTAATGTTTTCAGTGCAGAAATGGTTAAATGTAAACATTTTTTCCATGTTTGCACAAATAATAGTAATGTCCATATGTGACATTTTGTTTCTTATCAACTTGTGTTGTTTTTATAAAAATCATCTGATTAGTTCACCATATGTCCTATTTCCATAGTTCTTATTTAAGCTTAATTTCTCCTTAATATTCAAACGATTCTGATCGGTCATAATTTTCTCAATATTTATCATCTAAATATCCAGATGTTCCATTTAGATACAGCATCCCCATGTTTTCATATTTCATGTGTTATAAAAATACTATACTGCTTATCTATCTTATGCTGTCTACCTATAATATCTTCTCTGATCAGTTTATATTTCACTTATATTTGTAAAAGTTCATGTGTTAAATCACGATATATCCTATTTTCAAAGTTCTTATTTAAGCTTAATTTCTCCTCAATATTCAAACGATTCTGATCGGTCATAATTTTCTCAATATTTATCATCTAAATATCCAGATGTTCCATTCAGATACAGCATCCCAATGTTTTCATATTTCATGTGTCATAAAAATACTATATTGCTTATCTATCTTATGCCGTCTACCTATATTTTTTCTGATCAGTTTATATTTCACTTATATTTGTAAGTTAATTTGTTAAATCATTCTATATCCTATTTTCAAAGTTCTTATTTAAGCTTAATTTCTCCTCAATATTCAAACGATTCTGATCAGTCATAATTTTCTCAATATTTATCATCTAAATATCCAGATGTTCCATTTAGATACAGCATCCCAATGTTTTCATATTTCATGTGTCATAAAAATACTATATTGCTTATCTATCTTATGCTGTCTACCTATAATACTGTATCTTCTCTGATCAGTTTATATTTCACTTATATTTGTAAAAGTCAATTTGTTAAATTACTCTATATACTATTTTCAAAGTTCTTATTTAAGCTTAATTTCCCCTCAATATTTCAGTCATTCCTTAATCCTAATTCCCTGCAACTTAATTTACCTTTGAATTTCGAACTTTTCATTCACATACATCATCCCAATATTTTAACATTTTATTTATTATAAAAAATACTAGATTACTTATATCTCTTATCCTTCTTATTATAAGGCCCCTTTATATCCAAAGTTATCTGTTATTTTAACCGTATTCAAACAAGTGTTTGCTCATGTAATTCTCCATCTGGTAGGGCGAGTCAAAACTCTTGAATCTGTCTCTGGACTTCTTCGTTTGCCAAATAGATTTCCAAATTGATATATTCCACTTGCCAGGAAGTTCTTGTATTTTTTTTATGAGTGTTCTTGGGAGTGGAGAAGACAGAATGCGTAAAATATATGCTTTTTGTCTCCCAAACATTTATTGTGAGGTAAAATGAAATATTGTGTGACCCAAGAACAGCTACCAAAATGGAGTGAGATTACACACCGCGGGTCACTTGTGTTCAAAGTTTTTGCACTCTTCGTTAGTCCTCGACTTACAACAGTTCATTTAGTGACCGTTTCGAAGTTACACCAGCGCTGAACAATGTGACTTATGACCGTTTTTCACACTTACGACTGTGGCAGCATCCCCGTGGTCACGTGATCAAAGCTCAGACACTTGGCTCGTATTTATGGCGGTTTGCAGTGATTCACTTAGCAACCGTGTTTCTAACTCAGCGGCTGCGGTGATTCGCTTAACAACCGTGTATCTCTCAACGCCTGTAGTGATTCACTTAACAACGGTGTTTCTAACTCAGCGGCTGCGGTGATTCACTTAACAAGAATGGTCGTAAAATGGGACAAAACTCACTTAACAACTGTCTTGTTTAGCAACAGGATTTTCGGGTTCAATTGTCGTAAGTCAAGGACCACTTGTATCTGTTTTTACACAAACACACACACACACACACACACACAAGTGAATGCAGAATGTCGACTTCTGATGCGAGCCAGTTGCAGTACTTGACTGCCAAAATATTTCACATTTTGTATTTGAACTCTTTTGTGTTTTTATCGAAATGTGAGGTAAACGTTCCACACGATAAATGCGTCAATCATCGTTTTCGCTCCCCACGCAGGGCGCCCGATCGGGTACGCCTTGTACTATAAGGCATATTGCGTCAACCACGGAAAGAAGATATATTTGGAAAATCTATACGTGGTGCCGGAATTTCGCGGTAGGTAAAAATATCGGGTTGAACTCGCCCATCTTAAAGCATGGCTGGCTGGGGGATTCTGGGAGTTGAAGTCCACCCAACCTAAAACATGCTGGCTGGGGAATTCTGGGAGTTGAAGTCCTCTATCTTAAAACATGCTGGCTGGAGTATTATTATTATTATTATTATTATTATTATTATTATTATTATTATTATTATTATTATTATTATTATTATCATTATTATTTCTAATTGGCATGGAACGATGGGGGCAACACACTGACTTCCCTTCTTCTCGCCAGATAAAGGAATCGGAAAGCAGTTGCTGATCAAACTTGCCGAAGTAAGTTCCGAATGCTGGCATTGTGTCTTTTCCGGACTTCCCCAAATGAGGAATTGTCGTCTCTTTCTCCGGAAAGGCGGCTACAGGCAGTCCTCGACTTACGACGCTTCATTTAGTGACCGTTCAAAGTTGCACCACCACTGAAAAAAGTAACCGTTTCCCCACACTTACGACGGTTGCAGCCTCCCCATGACCAAAATCCAAACGCCCGGCCACCGACTCGCGTTTACGACGGTCGCTGTGTCACCTGATCCCCTTTTGCGAACTTCGGACGAACAGAGTCAACGGGGGGGGGGAGAAGCCGGGTTCACTTCACAACCGTGCGACTCACTTAACGACTGAAGCGATTCACTTAACAACGGTGCCGGGGATGGTCGTAAAACGGGGCAAAAACTCGCTTCGCCACCGTCCCGCTTAGCAACAGAAATGTTGGGCTCCGCTGGGGCTGTAAGCGAGGACGACCTGGTCACGGAGGGATTCGTCATAAGTCGAGGACTACCTGTCCTGTCGAGTCAGATAAGGGTGGCAGAGCCTGCAGCTTCAGTGGCAGTCTACCCGCCGGGGAAGAGGGTGGGAGGAGCCAGTTTCCTTAGTGCACGGATGCACCGTGGGAAGCGGGGTGCCGGTTCAGCCAGTGCCGGATACGAATCTAGACGCTTATAGCCTGTTTTTTTTCCCGGCTTGGCAGGTTGCGCTCGCCGCCGGCTGTACCGGGATGAAATTTAGCACCATGGAGGGGAACCAGCGGGCGAAGAATTTGTACCTGCGGCTCGGAGCCGAGGACACCACCGAGTCCTTTCACTGGCACTGCATGGAGTTCAGCCAGGAGGCCCTGCAAAGGCTCGCCCAGGGCGGGCAGGCCTCGTGAGCGCGCCCCAGGCCGACTCGAGGAGGAGGAGGAGGAGGAGGAGGAGGAGGAGGAACGGCACCACTGCCAAGATCAGAAAACCAGGATTTGTCAGCCTTAGCAACTTGTGAGATCTCTGGACTTCTATTCCCAGGATTCCTCAGCCAGGATTCGTGGACTTCGACTCCCAGGATTCCCCAGGCAGCAGGATTGGATTTCAAGTCCCAGAATTCCCAGCTAGCATTTGTGGACTTTAGTTCCCAAATTCCTCAGCCATCACGCCTGGACTTCAACTCCCAGAATTCCTCAGCCAGCAGGATTGGACTTCAAGTCCCAGAATTCCAAGCTAGGATTTGTGGATTTTAATTCCCAAATTCCCCAGGCAACACGCCTGGACTTCAACTCCCAGAATTCCTCAGCTATCAAGCCTGGACTTCAACTCCCAGAATTCCTCAGGCTTCATGCCTGGACTTCAACTCCCACAATTCCTCAGCCAGCAAGATTGGACTTCAAGTCCCAGAATTCCAAGCTAGGATTTGTGGATTTTAATTCCCAAATTCCCCAGGCAGCACGCCTGGACTTCAATTCCCAGAATTCCTCAGCTATCAAGCCTGGACTTCAACTCCCAGAATTCCTCAGCCGTCACACTTGGAGTTTGATTCCCAGAATTCCTCAGCCGTCACACTTGGACTTCAACTCCCAGAATTCCTCAGGCATCACACCTGGACTTCAACTCCCAGAATTCCTCAGCTGTCATGCCTGGATTTCGACTCCCAGAATTCCTCAGCCGTCACACCTGGACTTCAACTCCCAGAATTCCTCCACCGTCATGCCTGGACTTCGATTCCCAGAATTCCCCAGCCAGCCATGTCGGCTAGGGAATTCTGGGAGTCGAAGGCCCAGACGTCTTAAAAGTGCCATAGAGAAACCCAGCTAGACCCAATCCCCCCAAATATAATATAATATATATATAATATATATAATATAATATAAATGAGACAGCAAACAGAGAACGAAAAGGGGCACCTCTTTAATTCCATTTTCAAAATACACCCGCGGCCCAACATTATTATTGATTAAAAATAATAATAAAAACAAGGCAGGCTGGACAAGAAGAAACTCGAAGTCTATTTTTTTTTTTAAAAAAAGAGAACATTTTAAAAAAATCTTTTGCTTCATAAAAGGGGGACAGGCAAAAGTTCAACAGGGGAAGATTTATGCTCGTAGGAAGAGTTGGGGGGGGGAGAGAGAGAGGAAATAGCCCCCAGCCCCAATTTATTCAGATAAGACCAGCTTATGGGTAGGGGAGTTTTCAAGCCTTATGGGTGCGGGAGTCCATTCAAGTACATTTGGGAAACAGAGGAGGTTCCAACTCGGCCCGGTCAGGATGACGGGCGTTGTAGTCCGCCACAAACTGCTGGATGGACGGAAATCTATATTGGGGGGGTCCTTGCCGAGCCGAGGGGCTAAGATACCTTTCTAAACCCCCTCCCCAATTTGAGAAGCTGCTAAAACGACACAGAAAGGCCATGCAGATCAGGGCTGGTCAATTTTGGGGCCTTGAAGATCGGCGGACTTCAACTCCCAGAATCCCCCAGCCAGCTTGGCTGGCTGGGGGATTCTGGGAGTTGAAGTCCGCCGATCTTCAAGGCGCCCCAAATTGACAAAACGCTGCAAAAAGAGCAGCGAGCTCTGTGCGCCCCAGAAAGGGGGCGCCAAGCCGAGCAGCCCGCGAAGCCCCCCACCCACCCAGGGGAAAGAGTTTGGGGACCACCGCCCCCATCAGCAGTCGGTGGTGATATCGGAGGAGAGGTCTTGAATCCGCCGGGCGCTGCAGTTCTTGCAGAGAATATGGCCGTCCAGCGGGTAGCAGCCGCGCCCCTCCCCTTCGGAGGAGAGGAGCAGACCACACTCCTGCGGGGGGGGGGGAGAGGGAAAGGAAAACCGGATGCAACCATTAGGGGTGTTGCCCCCCCCAGGGTGCCAGCAGGGGTCCCGCCCTCCCGAAGTAACAGAATTCTTGGGCTGGAGGGGACCACAGAGGTCTTCTAGTCCAGCCCCTTGTCTGGCAGATCTTTTTGTGCCATTTCAAACAATTTTTTCTTAGAAATCTGAAGAGATAGGTCGGTAGGTAGGTAGGTAAACAGACAGACAGACAGACAGAAAGACAGAGTAGATACATGATAAAGAGATAATAGAGATAGATGATTGATAGATGATAGACACATGATAAGGATAGATAGATAGATAGATAGATAGATAGATAGATAGATAGATAGATAGATAGATAGATAGATGTAAACATGATAGAGATAATAGAGATAGATGATTGATAGATGATAGACACATGATAAGGATAATAGATGATATATGAGATAGATAGATAGATAGATAGATAGATAGATAGATAGATAGATAGATAGATAGATAGATATAAACACATGATAGATAGAGATTAGATGATTGATAGATGATAGACATGATAAGGATAATAGATAGATGAGATAGATAGATAGAATAGATACATGATAGATAAAGAGAATAGAGATAGATGATTGATAGATGATAGACATGATAAGGATAATAGGTGATAGATAGATAGATAGATAGATAGATAGATAGATAGATAGATAGATAGATGGATGGATGGATGGATGGATGGATGGATGGATGGATGGATGGATGGATGGACAAACGGATGGACGGACGGACAGACATATTATAGATGGATAGAGAGATGGATGGATGGACGGACGGATAGACGGACAGACAGACAGATAGACAGACATATTATAGATGGATACAGAGAGAGATGGACCGGGATAGCAGGATAGGTGGACAGATAGATGGATACACAGCTGCGCCTCCAGCGCTGCAACCCCCACCCTTCCGGTTCCCCCCCCGTGCCCTCCCCTCTGCCCCTGCTGGCAGGCGCCCCTCCCTGGAACTGAGGGCAGCCCCCCCCCGTCCCCCTCCGCCGTCGCTCACCTCGCACTTGTAGCAGCCGATGTGGAAGCTGCGGTCCAGGGCCACAATTCGCACCGTCTCCTCCTGGCCCGGTTCAGGCATGATGGCCTCCGCACACACGGAACAGCGGGGGGCAAATTTCCTAAGGAGGGGGGAATCAGGAAGAGACATGAAAAGCTGGCCCTGCCCTTTTTCTCCAGATTTTTGGAGCCTCGGGATCCCCGCCTGTCCCGCCTTTGCTGGCTGGGGGGGGATGGGACTTGTAGTACAGCACACACAAAACGTTGAGGGAGCAAATTTCCTAGGGGAAACTGATCAAGGAGAGAAGCAACCTGGAATTAAGGAGGAATTTCCTCACAGTGAGGACAATTAACCAGTGGAACAGCTTGCCACCAGAAGTTATAGGGGCTCCATCACTGGAAGTTTTTATGAAGAGACTGGACAGCCATTTGTCTGAAATGGTATAGGGTTTCCTGCCTGAGCAGGGGGTTGGACTAGATGACCTCCAAGGTCCCTTCCAACTTCTTCTTCTTCTTCTTCTTCTTCTTCTTCTTCTTCTTCTTCTTCTTCTTCTTCTTCTTCTTCTTCTTCTTCTTCTTCTTCTTCTTCTTCTTCTTCTTCTTCTTCTTCTTCTCCTCCTCCTTCTCCTTCTCATTATTATTATTATTATTATTATTATTACTACTACTATCATTATTACTATCATTATTACTACTATTACTACTACTACTATACTATTACTATTATTATTACTATTACTTTTATTATTACTTTTATTATTACTATTATCATTATTACTATCATTATTACTATTATTATTACAACTATTACTATTATTACTATTACTATTATTACTATTACTTACTACTATTATTACTATAACTACTATTACTACTAGTGTTACTATTATTATTATTATTATTACTATTATTACTATTATTATTGTTGTTGTTGTTATTACTATTATCTCTCTTTTGGAACCCCGAAAGAAGGGCGAACAGGAATCCACGCCCCCACCACCACCCCAGTCTCACCGATGGAAATCTTCAATGCAGTGGATCTGGCTGGTGGCGTCCACGGTGAAAGGGATCCCGTCCAGGCAGCGGTGGCAGACCACACAGATGAAGCACTGAGGGTGGTAAGCTTTACCCATCGCCCGCAGGATCCGGTCCATGATGGGCTTGGAGCACATGGAACATTTCTCCAGAGTCACCTAGACCAGAGGGCGGGCGTCAGAGAAATATATATATATATATATTAAAATGAACCCTCTCCTCTCTCTTGCCAATTTTTTTTATCACTGGTTCAAGTCTTCGAGACCTGATTGGCAGATGGCAGAATTCCACAGTCCTTTAGGCCCCCGCGACTGGGCTCACTTGCTTGAGTCATCTATATTCCCCTGCCTTTTTGGGACACAATGCGATTCGACCATCCCGGGAACCTGAAGCTGCATTTTCAGATTATGTCACCAGAGGGCGTCCACGTCCCAAAAGTTAGAGCAATGTTTTTCAAAATTAGCCCAGACTGCAGAATTCTGCAGTCCTTTTGGCACCCGCGGCTTGGCTCGCTTGCTTGAGTCATCTAAATTCCCTTGCCGTTTTGGGACACAAGCTGATTCGACCATCCCAGGAACATGAAGCTGTGTTCTCAGGTTACGACACCAGAGGGCGCCCAACTCCCAGAGGTGGACTCCAGAGAGCAATGTTTTTCAAACTTAGGGCATTGAAGATAAGTGGACTTCAACTCCCAGAATTCCTCTGGCTGGCTGGCCAGCCGGCCAGCTGGGGAATTCTGGGAGTTGAAGTCCACCCATCTTCAAGGCCCTAAGTTTGAAAAGGCAGACTGATAGAACCGAAATGTGGGGCCCCGGAGCCTCTTTCGAACCCCTCACTCACAATATAGCAGGATTCACAGTACGACCGGCGGTCGATGGCGTAGAACGGCTGCCCCCGCAGGCGGCCGTGGCAAGTCGCACAGGTGAAGCACTCGACGTGGAAGACCTGGTCCATGGCCACGCAGCCCGTCCCGTCGCCCACCACGTTCTCCCCGCACTGAGCGCAGCGGCCTGCAAAAGGGTCCAGGGTTCGAAAGCTACCGATCGCTCGATTTTTTAAAAAAAAAAAAAATCAAAAGAAAACAAAACAAAACAAGAACCGTCCCCCAAATTCCAAGCTAAGCAAGACCCAGAGCCCCCCCTAACCCCCCCATCCCGCCCCCGTCCCCAATTTTGAGACAAAAAGACCGGGTTGAATCTTAAAACAAGCCAAGGGGAGCTTCTGCACTGCTATTCCGCCCAGCCGCAGCATTTTCAAGATAGACTGCTCTTGCGCGAGGAGGCTCCACTACAAAAAAAAAAAAAACACCTCGCCCCAAAATCTTAAGGTTCGGAAACCCACCGAAGTACTCGGCCGTCGGAGGGTGCTTCAAGTCGTAAATCAGCTTCTTGGTCAGCCGATCCAGCTCCTCTTCCGGGCGGCATGACGGGGGCTGCGGGGAAAGGAAGGGGAGACTGGAGAAGGACGGTCCCTAAGCGGGACAGCTGGCGAACATAGACACACACACACCCGCGCCGGGGTTGAACGTGAAAAAAAAAAAGGGGGTGCGGGGAAGGCTTCTGAGCATCAGAAGAAGGCAATCCGGTTCTCTGCCTACAAATGGTATATGGTTTCCTGCCTGAGCAGGGGGTTGGACTAGAAGACCTCCGAGGTCCCTTCCAACGCTATTAGTCTATTCTATTCTGTATTTTATTATTCTGTTCTGTTCTATTCTATTCTATATTCTATTCTATTTTAATTTCTATTCTATTCTATTCTATATTTTATTATTCTATCTATTCTGTATTTTATTATTCTATTCTGTATTTTATTATTCTATTCTGTATTTTATTATTCTATTCTGTATTTTATTCTATTCTGTATTTTATTATTCTATTCTATTTTGTATTTTATTATTCTATTCTATTATGTATTTTATTCTATTCTGTTGTGTATTTTATTATTCTATTCTGTATTTTATTATTCTATTCTGTATTTTATTATTCTACTCTATTCTGTATTTTATTATTCTATTCTATTATGTATTTTATTATTCTATTCTATTATGTATTTTATTATTCTTTTCTGTATTTTATTATTCTATTCTATTATGTATTTTATTCTATTCTGTTATGTATTTTATTATTCTATTATGTATTTTATTATTCTACTCTATTCTGTTATGTATTTTATTATTCTATTCTATTCTGTATTTTATTATTCTTTTCTGTATTTTATTATTCTATTCTATTCTATTCTATTCTATTCTATTCTCAATTCCTCAAGAATTTAAGCAACAAGGCCTCATGGATAGCGAGTCCTCAACTTACAACAATTCTTTTAGTGACCGTTCAAGGTTACAACAGCACTGGAAAAAAGCGACTTAAGACTGTTTTTTTTACACTTACAACCGTCACAGCCTCCCCACGGTCACGTGATCAAAATTCAGACACTGGGCAACCAACTCCTATTTACGACGGTCGCGGTGATCCGGGGGTCACGCGATTTCCCCTTTTGCGACTTTCTGACAAGCAAAGCCAGTGGGGGGGGGGAAAGCCGGGTTCATTTAGCGACCCCATCGCTAACTTAACCCACTGCAGAGATTCTTGCTTGGAGCCAGAAATTTGGGGCTGAGTTTTGATCATTTTGTACTTGCCGCAAAAACACACACATTCCGGGAACTGTTGAGGAGGATCTGTCTTCACCCTCATTCTCACACACCAACTCACTGAACTCCTCTTAGAATTCAACCCCTCCCTCCTGGGAATCTGGATTGCATGATGTTACAGGATGGAAGCCCCTTCCACAGAAAGACCCCCACCCTGCCTTCCCCATCCCCAGCACCCCGAGTTACCTGATGGGGAAACCTCAGCCCCCCACTGCTGGCGGGAAGCAGGGGTCCCGTCAACTCTTCCTTGCCGGCTTTCGCCAATCCAGACTGGAACTGTCCCCCCGGCGCCTCCAGCCTGCCCTGCCCTGCAGGGCCGGCGTAGAATTCCCCCTCGCCCGGCCGCTGGCCATAGGAGGGAGGCTCCGGATACCAAGACTCAGCCTCGTGGGGACGGGCACGGGAGCCCGGCTCCGAGGCGTACTGCGGGGGAGGCTTCGCCCCGTATCCCAGCTGGGGGGACGGGGGTCCGTAGGCCGGCTCCGCCCGGCGCCTGGGCTGGTTGTAGCCCACCACCGGCTTGGCCACCTTCACCTGAATGCTGAAGGGGGTTCCGGCTGAGGAGGAAGCCGTGGCGTACGAGGCGGGCATCGGCTGCGGGTACGGTTTGGGGGCACGGTGGTATCCATAGGCCTCCCCCAAGCCGGGTGAGCCGTACTGGCAGGGCATCACCGGGACGGCTGGATAAGGGGATCCCGAGGCCGGTGGGCCTCCATAGGGCAGGGTCTTGGCATCGGGCTTAAGGGGCATGAAGCCGCCCGAGAGGGTGGGCTTGTAGATAGCCGAAGCCGGGCTGGGTTTGGGGGCACCTGGCTGCAGAGCTGGATACGGCACAGATTCCGCATTCTGCAAAAAAGAGGTAACACAGTCAGCGTCCAGGTAGAGAATTTGGGACACACACACACACACACACACACACAGAGGCACCCCGTTTTGTCCTCCAGTCCCCCCCCCGCCCAGCTTCCTCACCGGCCGTTCGCCCCGGCGCTGCTGGCTGCTCTCCATGTCGGCCAACATGCTGGTGAGCGAATCTATCTGGACATCGATGTTGGTGGGGTGAAGACCCCGCGCCTGCTCTGGGGACTCTCCCTGCTGGGGGAAAAAATAATTGTTTTTTGGGGGAAGGGGGTGTCTCCCCGATCGAGGAAGCCATCCGAACCGTGGCCAACCGATCTGGGCTTCTGTAATGGGGTGACTCCCCACCTTTGCCACCCTCTGCCCCCCACCCCACCCCAAGGACTGCGCTTGTTGAATCTCGGCCTGCCGTGCTTTTGCAGAAGGAAACTAGTGCTTAATGGAAATGGAAAGAGCTGGCTGTCCCTTTCTGGAATCAACGCGGCTCCCAGGATCCTTGCCGGCGCCTAGTGCAATCCTGGGAGTCGTAGTTCTGGCTAGTCGGACTACAACTCCCAGGATTCCACCAGGCACCGGCAAGGCTCCTGGGAGCTGCAGGTGGGGGAGAAACAGCCGTTCAGCCTCCGTCGCCCATACCTCCACCGGCCTTCCTCCCCCAGCCAAGCGGGCTCTCCTTACCTGCAAGGTGTAGCTGGGAGGTGTAGCACTATCCCAGGATCCCCGGGACCCTCTCTCGCTTACGGAGGAGTAGGGGGAATCCGCAGAAGAATCCTGGGGAAGCGAGGCGGGACCTGGAGCAGAGGAAAAAGCAGGACAGAGATTTGAACTCAGGACCGGGCAGAGGAGAGGAAGCTGGCTCCTCTAGGTGTCGTCAACTATAACTCCCAGGCCTGCCTGCCTGCCTGCCCAGGAGCAAAGTCTTCTGGGAAATGTAGTCAAAGGACCTTTTGCCCTCTTAGAATACAGGAAGTCCTCAACTTACGACCGGTTGCTTGACAGACATGATTCCCTTAACTCAGAGATGTCCTTTAGGCCCAAGAGAGTCCATCCATCCATCCATCCATCCGTCCAATTCCTGCCTTGGATGGCTGAAAAGTTTTGCCCCCTTTGACGGGCATTTCCCGCAGCTACAAGCTGGCAGTTCAATGGGGGGGGGGGAAGATCCATTCTCGGCTATTTGTGTGTGGGGGTGTCTGTTGCTTCCCACCCAGCCTCTCTCCGATAAAAGAGTTTTGATCGTTTTGTACTTGCCGCAAAAACACACACATTCCGGGAACTGTTGAGGAGGATCTGTCTTCACCCTCATTCTCACACACCAACTCGCTGAACTCCTCTTAGAATTCAACCCCTCCCTCCTGGGAATCTGGATTGCGTGATGTTACAGGAGTGTGAGGAGCATTTGGGAATGCAAGTCAGTGGAGAGGGGGCAAAAGCAGCCAATGATCCGAACCTGGGCCCCTGGAAGCCGGATGGACTTCAATTCCCAGAATTCCCTCGCTCAACCTCCTCAACTTGAAGAGGGGGTGGGGCTTCAACTCCAGGAATTCTGGGAGATGTAGTCCCTCCGTCTTCAAAGGGGCCCAGGCTGTGCATTAAGAGTCCCCTTGTTGGTGCAGAAGACCCTTCCCCAAATACGGGTCCCACCATTACCTGGCGGAGGGGGCTGGTCCCGGGAAAGGCCCCCCGCTGAGCCCATTGCCCCATTGGTCTCCGGAGTCCGGTGGGCGGGTTTGGGAGCTGCCGGGATGGAAGCAAAACTCTTCTGGACCCTGCAGACGGCTGGGGCGGATACGGTGACATCGGGCTGGCCCAGGACCCCCACTTGCTTCGGGGGCAGCCAGGTGGGGCCGGACATGCCGAGGGAAGCTGGATTGGGGGGGGGTGGGGGGGAAGGCAGAGCAAAAACGTGGGAGTCAAAATTGGAATTGAATGGAGAACAACTGGGCTTTCCTGGCCCAGCCTTAAAAAAAATTTCCCCCCCCTTTTATTTTGAATCAATTAAAAGTTTCAGCTGAACCCGGATCGAAAAGGAAAGAGAGAGAGAGAGAGAGAGTGGTGAGAAAGAGGTAGACAGACAGATTCATATAAATAAATATAGAGAGATGATAAATGGACAGATGAATGGATAGGTAGATAGATAGATGGATGGATGGATGGATGGATAGATAGATAGATAGATAGATAGATAGATAGATAGATAGATAAATAGAAATAGATAGATAGAAAGATAAATATAGATAGAAATAGATAGATAGAAATAGATAGAAATAGACATAGATAAATAAATAGAGATAGAAAGAGTAGAAATAGAGAAATAGACGGATAAATAGATAGAAATAGATAGATAAATAGATAAATAGAGTTGGATAGATAGATAAATAGAATGGTAGATAGAAATAGATGGATAGATATAGATAAATGATAGAAATAAATAGATAAATATATAGAAATAGATATAGATAGATAAATAGATAGAAATATAGATAGAAATAGATAGATAGAAATAAATAGAAATAGATAAATATAGATAGAAATAGATAGAGAAATAGATAAATAAATAGAGATAGAAATATAGATAGATAGATAGATAGATAGATAGATAGATAGATAGATAGATAGATAGATAGATAGATAGATAGACAGATAGACAGGCAGACAGACAGACAGACATAAAGAAATAGAGAGAGATGATAGACAGAGAGATGGACAGATGGATAGATGGTGAGATAGATGAGAGAGAGAGAGATAGGTGAGAGAGAGATACAGATAGATATAAATATAAATAGATGATAGACAGACAGACAGAAATAGAGAGATGATAGAGGGATGGATGGATGGATAGTTGGGGAGAGAGAGAGACAAGAGAGGTACAGAGATATAAATATAAATAAAAAGATAAAGAGAGATGATAGATGAACAGAAAGAAAGAAGGAAAGAAAGAAAGGTATACGAGTAAGCCATAAAAACCGTAAACAAACCATATGCTCACGTTTTACCTCATGGCAAGCCATTTTCAAACCACGATTAGGACATTACTAAAAGCACAGTGGCAAGGATCTTGTCATGCTAAGCTTTTACAGTAACGAAACAAACCACGGTTCCAATCAAGTTGACTGCCTTACAGAAAACCCTCTTTTTCTCCCTAATTCTTCCTATTTAAACCTCACACAGCACCGCCCTAGAGATTCAGGAAGCCACGAGGCCACGTGGGAATCCGTTACAGGGGAGTAAGCTGCAGACACGGTTAACCCCTCATCCCGCCTGTTCGCACACAGGCTTTGCACACCTGGGGTAACCCCCTCCCCTTTCCTGCACCCCCTTTTCCTGCACCCCAACATCAAAAGAGTCCACAAAACCGATTCACACATTGCAGGCTCCGCTTTCCCGAACTGTGATTTGACAAAAAGTACAATTCCCGGCGTTTAAGTAGCCAAAGAAGCCAGAAATCGTGGCTTAGTCCATACAAGCTGGATAAACCACCTTGTAACTCCGTGGAGGAAGCGTTTGGGCCTGTTTGTGGCGTCAAATTTCCTGGCAAAGGAATTAATTTGATAAATCCGAGTTGGAACTTTGGGTGGACTTCAACTCCCAGAATTCCCCAGCCAGCCACAGCTGGCTGGGGAATTCTGGGAGTTGAAGTCCACCCGGCTTAAAGTTGCTTAAAGCAGTAAACCACGTTGGAATGAATGAACCACGGCTTTGCGGTGACGTCACTCGACTCCCTCCCCCTCCCGCCCCGCCCAACACTTCCCCGGCTCCTTCCCCAACCTGTCGCCCGCCCAGCGTGGTGGGCTGCCAGGCAGCGCCGCATGGGCTCTGGAGTACGACATAGCTGGGTCAAGCTGCAGCCCTTCCCGGGAGTGGGGAATTCTGGGGGGGAGGGGGAAGAGGTCGAGCACTCTGCACGTGCTCGGGGGTGGT